AAACGAAAACATCCGAGACCATACAAAAATTTCGAATCTTAGCTGACCAGCATGCAAGACCTCTGACGAAGGAGGTTTTTCCCGAAAGCCAAATCCAATACTGCAAGCAGCTCAAGCAACGTGCTGACTTATTGCTGGCAAGACAATCACAATAAGGCTTACGACCCCAAATATCGCTTACAACAGCCTCAGACTGTTGATTATTTCACGACGTTCAGCTGGCCACATCTTCATCGCGCTTTGAAACCTTGCTGCTTACTTTTCGCAGCCCTTGCTGTCAGCCTTTCACCGCAACTTCTCATAAATTTTTAAAATGGCATTAAGCATTTGGCTGAGCTGACCTTTAATCTGGGTAAAGGCCGATACCCGTAGGAGACTGTGAGACTAAAACTGCAACCCAAAACTGTCGCTTCCCTGGAGTCGGACCGCTGACGTTATCACAACGTCCAAAAAATCCACGTCTGTATCACCTCAGGACTTTTGTACTTAATTTTCGTAGTTCTTGTTGTCAGATCTTCACCGCAACTCTCTACACATTGGAAAAGTTGCCTGCAGCACTTGCTGAGCTGAAATATGATCTGAGTATATGCTGGGAGAGACCAAAAGTTCATTTTCTATAGAGATTGCGCTACTGACTCCGGAGAAGGTGCGTTGCCGGCCTTCCCTAATAAATACTTATCTACAGGCTACTCAGCGCTCACCGGCTCACCTCTGTCCTGTCCAGTACTGAGAATTTCGCGAGATCAAGCTTCGAACAAGTACCTCCACGGATCTATCTTCTCGCCAGATATTGTTCAACTCGAGATGTGGCTTTATAAAAGTGAAAAGTATAATGAACTGACGGACGATGACCATGAAGTAAAGATTTTTAATGAAGATGACTCCGCCAACTCGACATCGGACTTCCTTTCGAGAGCATACCGAGCCAGGATCCAAGATGAAAAGCTTCCGTGTCGATTCTGGCGATACATAATCATACTCTCGCTGATCAATGTGTTCCTTCTACTCACGTCTTGCACACTTGTGCTACACTGCTATCTCCACGCCCTTCACGGTCGCAATGCCCTCCTCAAAGCAACATCTTTCTACTCTCCGATCCTCGACAGAGTGGAAATCCAAACCTCCGTTAAGAAGATGAATGCGACGCTCTTCCCTGGACCCAATCCCAGCTTTGCACGCCAGTTTCCCAACCCCGAAGCTGACGCGTGGTGGGAAAGCATGGAAATAGTACGCACAATACCAATCACTAAAGAGGACGTGATAAAGCTTGGGAAAGACCCCAAGACTGTTGCCAAGTTTGAAGATGGCCATTGGGGCTTAGGGGATGATGCTTATATGGCGGAACTGGACATCTTCCACCAGTAAGTACATAAACGAGGAATGGCGATATACATATCTAATAATGAAACAGGCTACATTGCCTTAATTCGCTACGGAAATTGATATATCCGGACTACTACATGTACAACGCTTCAAACACTCGTCATCCAGATCTTTGGTATGTACATCTAAACCACTGCGTCGATGTGCTCGCGCAGAACTTGATGTGCACGGGAAGCACGGATCTCCTGACGGTCAATTGGATGGAGACACAGAGTTTTCCTTTTCCAGACTTCAACATCAATCACCAATGCCGAGACTTCGATGCGCTAGTTGAGTGGAAGGAGGAGAATGGTGTGGATCTTGAGAGATGGGCGGCTATGAAGAGACCGGACGGAGTCAGGCAGGTGAAACCAAGTGAAGGTATCAAGGAAATGCTGAGGCATGAGCATGAAATGAAAAATAGTAAGACGGACAGGGAGCGATTGTAAACAATTTGCAGTATGTGGGAGGAAGATGTTGAACGGTAACACGGGGAACAAAGATGAGTAGAATAATTCTTGATTATTGTCTGATAAACTTAAGGAGTAGCCCTTTACTTATATATCTAAAAAGGTCTTGACTAGGCTGCTCCATGGGGTGGGGGCCCCATAGGGTTTTCCTCTCCATTCCCCTTATAAGGTCTTGGCCGATGAGGGACTTTTTTTAAAAACCTTATAAAGAGGATTTTTTTAAGTCAAATTCTTTACGAAGGATGGAAAAACCTTATAAGTTTAAAGTAAGATAGCTAAAAATAATATAAATAATCGTCGGTTACCTTGAATTTAATTTGTAAAAAATCCCGACCTGGCGCAGCCAGGTCGGCACCACCAAGGCGGGACAGTAACGGTATACCACTTATTAAACAACAACTATTATTATAAAACATTAGAAAAAAATCTTTATTGTCATCTACGGTGACCCAAGATAAATTCCAGTAGTAGTAGTAATTAGTCATTCAATCACGTGAAATTTTCTATACGGATCTGCAAGATTTGTGAGCGTGCCAAGACTTTTATTCTATGTCAATCTATTGAACTTTTTCCGGGAGAATTAAAGAAAAAAGAGGGATTAAAGTAATTCCGCCGGCATCGGAATTTTTTTTTCCGTAATACGTATCGCGGGGCATTAACGCGTCGACGCGTCATATAAATACGCGTGCACGGACCACCTTATTTTATTCTTTTTATAATGACGCGTCATTTGTATAAAAGTGCACGGGCCACTTTATTTTTTTAATTAAGCTATTATTAAGGCTGATAAAGCCGTTAACCTTTAGCCGCTTAACCTTCAATCGCTTGATTCTTAATTGCTTTACCAATTAACGTATTTTAACTTGCGTCATTTCTTTTAGCCGTAATGCTTAGTATATCGGTAGAAAAAGGTCGGTTCGAAAGCAAAAGTTCGTTTAATAAAGAAACTATTTAAAAGTATTAATAAATAAACTTGATCGCGATAATTTAGTTTACGATTAATAAGTTAATAATTTAAATAAAAAAAACGACTTTATAAAGCAATAAATAGCGTTATATTTAAAAGCGTAGCAAATAAGAAAGCGATAGTTATAATTGATTATTAAGTGATAGTAAAAAGAAATTAAACTTTATTTTATAAAATCAAAATTGCGTAAAGCGGTTATTGAATTGCTTCTAAACGATTGGGAATATATATTGGTAAGGTCGTAACGTTCGTCAAAGTACTTGCAATTGCAAAACACTCGGTTAATAAGGTATTTGAATTCTATCTGCTCCTGTGATGGCCTGAGGCTGTCAGGCCTGTTGGGAGCACGTGCACGCTAAAGGAGGTACATAGACTTCTCCTACTAAAGAGAACTTAGAAATATCATCCTTTCTATATAATACGGTCCTTTTCTTTACTATTAAAGTGGTGACTTACGCAGCGACCGACTTAACAATCTTTTGATTCGCAAACAAAGAGCTTAAACAATACATTAAGAATACAACTATTAAAGAAACAACTTTAGCTTTATCTTTCTTTCTGAAAGGTTTATCGATAAATCACCGCTTTACTACTACCTTAACTAAAACTACTTCAACTAAAACTACGGACTTATAAAAAAGAGATCACGGACTTACAAAAGCAACAACGACTTATAAGTTAGATAAATGCATAAAAAAAGAATAAAAGAACTCCGCTTCGGCTCACTTTTTTTAATAGACTCGAAAAGGAAATACGAAAAGAAAATCTATTACTTTTAATTTTTATTATTAATATTATTATCGAACGAAAGAGAAAAGAGTTTACTTTCAATAGCTTCGATACTTTTTACTTTAAAATAACAAGCATAGCATAAGCTGATTACTAACCTTCTTTTACGAATATATATATAGTTAGCAAGATTAATAACTTTATTATCTTAACTATTAAATATTAAGACTTAATTACTACTTTCTAACTTTTAAGATCGATTAAGTGTTAAGTTCGTGCTTAAGATCGATATAAAAATTTACGACACAAATGCTCTTGTAAAGACCGAGCGATAACAAGATACTTAAGCAATTAATCAATTGCAAAACTATTATCTCACTCTTCTTTTTACTACTACTACACTTAAACTTAAAGCAATAGACAAGATATCGAACTTAAAGATGCTAAAGTTCGACCGTTGTAAAGACTACGATAAAGAGATGCCGGCTAAGCTATAGCTAAACAAGCTAGATTACGATTTCGAAGTCGATAGCTCCGATAACTTCTCTTTTTTAACGTACTTTAAAGCAATTTCAATTTTTGTCGGTATATCCATATCGACCTTAGCTAGCTAGTAGTAGTAGTAGTAGTAGTTGGGGAAGCTCACCCGTGAACCATGGTTCACGGGCCACTTGGCATGCCTCGCTTAGCATGTCAGCAGTCAAGGGACCCTTAACTTGACAAGTAAACTTATTAGTTAGCTAGTGCACGTGATTCCTTCTAATCGTATAGAAGGAGTCAGCTCCTCTGAGCCTTAAGGAGCAGACAGAATTCAGATACCTTATCAACCGAGTGTTTTGCAATTGCAAGTACTTTGACGACCGTTACGACCTTACGAATATATATTCTCAATCGCTTGGAAGCAATTTAACACTGATCAGTGATTGAATTACTATTAAGTGATCAATCATAGAGAAGCTAAGACTCTATAGCGAGGATACTTTTTAATACGATACCTCCTTCTTTCTATAACGGAAGAGCGATTCCGTACCAAGTCGCTTGCTTATACTACCGAATTCTTTATTTCTACGGAAGAGTGATTCCGAATCAAGTTACTTTTATATAACCTTCAACGCTGTAAGAGCCGCGCTTGCTATATATAGCAACCCAACTAAATTTAAATCGACTTATACGCAAACAAATAACAATTATAGCCGATCGAGCAACTGGACTTTCGAGTAAGGAGTCTAGCCGACAAAGAGCAAGGTATTATACCTTTCGAGTCTCATTACCACTTACGGAACTTCTAGCTATTTAACTAAAAGAAACACTATACCTAAGGCTCTTAAGCCTTTCGGAAGGACTAAACGATAAGATGTCGAGCATCTTATTTGACTTAAACGAGCTATTATATACAAAGCTAGATAGTAAGATCACGGCCCGAGCGATAATAAAAGACTTCTTAAACGCGAAGTGTAAAAAGCTAAAGGATTACGACTTATAGAGCTTATTCCGGCACGCTTTCTTACGCTAAGATTAAACGAGTTTTACGATGACGAAAGATAATACGAGACGAAGCTTTAAGTTTGCTACTTTTATTAGCTTTAAAGAACACTTGCTATTTAAAAGCGTGTGGTACCCTTTAAAGCAAAAGGGCTACGCTAATAAGATAGTCAAGCTTTTGAACGACGAGCAGCAACACTAATAGACCTTTTAAAAAGTAAAAGAGCAACAAGTAACACTTTTAAGCCTCGATTTAAAGTAGACCGCCGAAAACCTTACGGACGACGAAAATAATACGTCTTAACTACTTTTACCACTTTTACAAAGTCTAAAAAAGAAAGAAAAAAAAGAAAAGGAAGAGATTCGAAAGTTACGCGAAGAATTCGCGAAAGAAAAAAAGAATATAAAGCAAAATATAAAAGTGATAGTAAAGCAAATAGCGGAATTACGGACTTACGTTATACAATCTAACGAAAGGCTACGACGAAGCGCTTTAACGTACTCGACGCCTTTAATCTATCAATCGCTACGCAATACGTTAATCATATAAGAGCTAAAATCACTTTAACGGCTTTTAAACCTTTTTCTCAAAAGCTACATTTAATTTTCTGAAAAGCTTAGGCTTAATAGCAATTATAACAAAGGTCTTAAGAATATCATCGGACTAGACAATATTCGAAGCTACGAGAGCTACACGCTAAAAAAAGACTTACTAAAACTTAAGAGCATTCCGAGCAAAATCAGCTCTTACTAAAGACAGCGTGTAGATTTCCGTGCTTAACCTTAACAACTCGAAAAAAAGATCTAGCACTTTCGGACGTACTAACAAGCTCTTTAAATCTTTTAACAAGCTACGTATTAACAAAAAAGATACTAAAAGTATAAGAATCGTTAAGAGCGTGCTTAAAAGTACGGATATCACTAAGCTAGAGTCTTAGCCGGTGACCCGAATAGCTTTAGCGATCTTAACGATAACCGACGAAGAAAGAACGAAAGAGATTAGCAAAAAGATCGAGGCTACGAGTATAAAAGAGGTAAGAACGGCCTTTTTAAACTACTAAAGGGATTCGGAAACGGATTTTCAAAAGACTTCGGATTCGGAAATAAGCTTTTTAAAGACTTTAAAAAAGGACGGATTACCGGCAATTATATCGGTAACCTTTTACCGATCAGATTATTAGCTAAGCAAAGCACGCTTGCGTATAGCACTCCAAGCGCTTTTAACGATAATAATAACGATTTCCTTAAACTAAGAGCGACGGACCCTTATCTAAGAGCAAAAGAGTTAGCTTTGTTTGCAAGAAGCTTTCTTAAAGAGCTAAAGTATTCGGGACCCGACAATGACTTTAAGACTTAATTAAAGATTTTTGCTAATTAAGCAAGTCGATACGGTTTAACTTTAAACGACTATTTAGCGGCATTTTTTATTATGCTTACGAAAGAAGCTATTACCTTTTATTATAATTACGTAATCAAAGCCCGGCTCTTTACGTTCAAAGCGAACGCTATTGCAGTAAAAGACTACTTCGAGACTAACCACCGGCGGCAAGTAAAATACGACCGTTAAAAAGAAATTTCGCTAGATTTAATCAAAAAAAAGAATCTAAAGACTTCGTTTAGCGAGTGCTTTAAGAAGCTCGCTAAAGAGCTCAAGGGAATTCAAAGCTTATTACGACCAAGTTTAAAAGATGATCGAAGTCTTGTTAACAAGCTGTATTCAGCTTGTAAAAACGTGCTAAAGACTACGATTGCACGAATAAACCTTGCTTTTACTTCTACCGCCGTAATTGCTAACATTCGT